AGGAGTTGTACACCTGTGCTGCACACTTGCAACTCCTTAAAAGCTTTTAGTGATATTTTCCCTAAAATCAAATGCTTTTTTGGGCATGTCAAACTTCAGGCATAGGTATTGTAATCCCGTGGGTCCCACCCATCAATGATGGGTGATGTGCCAAATCATACATGGACCCACAACTTAGTAGTGGAATGCTTTTAACTTAGCTGCCCCAAAATGACAGCAAATAGTTGCCTAAGTCACCCTCAGATGATGTGGGGCGGTGAGCTTCAACAAGTAGACCCCTTTGTGGGTCTCTTGCCATCTCCAAACGAAACTCTAGAATTTAGAAAATCAAAAGTGGGATTATGTTTCTGGATCATGGGTCCCATGTAGTTGAAATCGAAAGGGATATGCTTGAAAGGTGAGTTACATGGATTTTGACTAAATCTAAATCATTCTCCACGGAGCTGAAACAAGATTGGCTTATCTTACTTGACTTTTCTTTCCCTTGTCAGAGACAGAGAGAATGCCTCAAATTATTGTCAAATGAGAACAACTTCCATGGCCAGCAAAGTGCATTCCATGCATTTTGGCCTCTGGATTGCCAAAGCTTCAATCCCACGGTTTTCTATTTTAAAATTTTTGCCACGTGGTGATGATTATTTTATTGAAACTTTCCATCAAAAAAGCAGCTGATGCGGCGAAACACGTGGCTACTATTACAGCAATTCAGGATCAAAGTATCAATAAGTATCATACCCATACTATACATATCGATTTATGCGGTTGTTGATATATGAAATATGAGGTTCTGGTAGGAGTTTAAACGGATTGAATTTAATCCGAATTGGAATTTGATTAAAAATTTTAATACTTGAATTCTATATGATATCCAATGAATACTTAAAATTAATAATTCGAATTCAAGTTTGATTGATTAATTATTTATATAATTTAAATGTGATATATAAAATATAAAACATATATATTTTATATAAAAATCAAATAAACGATCGAATTTAGATATTTATCAAATTAAATTAAATCATTTTTAAATTCGACCAATTATAATATTTAAATTATCCAAATTCATTTTATTATATCGAATCTCAATTTTAAAATTGGATTTTCGAGCATCATTAACACCCTTAGAAATTAAACGTTAATATCCTTCTAGAGAGATTTATTATGAATTAGGTTGGCATGTGGAACTTCTTAAATCAAGGAGAATGATGCTTTGACACGCTCAATGCATAAAAAATAAAATAAAAAGAAGAAAATTTAGTATCAAGCTTCCAGCATATCGATACTTTGAATGATGGTAGCAGACATGTGCCAAATTTGTATAATTTTTGCTAGCCGTATCTTAAATGCTTATCATTGAAGGGTGTCAAAGGGGAAAAAAATATCAACATTATACACTTGATCTTTACAAGGTCATGCTTTTAAAATCGGATCGGATCGGATCGGAAAAATCGAAAATTAATCATTTGATTGGTTCCGTTTTATCCTAAAATTGTGTTTTGGCCAAAAATTATTGATTTGATCAGCAAACTGCTGATTTTGCAATTGAACTGTCAACTCAAACAATAGTTTTGACTGTTTTTTGTTTTTAATTTTTTATATTTTGTCAGAGCAGGCCATCCGTTTAAACCGTTCAACTTGGGAACTGAACCCAGAACGGTTCCCCGTTCAGTCTGATTTTAAAAGCCTTGGTCAAAGCCTCTATTTAAGGAAGAAAGAAATGAACGCATTAAGGAGATGATTTTATTGTGATTTGATTTTTCATTGAATGTATTAAGAAGTTAATGAAATCGTTTTCCTTTTGGGCTGCAAATGATATGTGATTATCCAAATCTGAATTCAAATCAATCGCATTTTCGATTCATTTTGTTTATGGAAAACAAATGCCACTTTTAGTTCATTTTATTAATAATATATAATATTTTAATTAATTTAATTTAACTTATTTATACTATTCAATTTCCAATTGTAATTCGAAGTTGATTTAAATCCGATTCGATTTAAATTTAAATAAATAAATCAAATTTGGTTTTATCTATAACCGATTCAATTCAATCCATTTGCAGCCCAATTTCTTAGCAACCATAAACGACTTCATTTTACTTGTCATCCAAACACGAATTAAGCTGGGGTTTGGTAACTGCTGAAAGAAATAAGAGTTAGAATATAGAATGCTTGAAACTTTCCAAATTAAATAAAAAAATAGAATGCTTGAAATCGTTCAGCTTTTCAGCAACTTGAGACCTACTTAACTGTTGAATGACGAAGCATTATAAGCATTATTAGGTTGGGATGATTATTTTATTTCTAATTTTTATATTCTAATAATACATTTAATTTTGAATCTATTTTTAATAATTTAGAATGATAAGTCAAAAACCTCTCCTCTCACTAATACAAACAATTTCATTTGGTTTGTCATCAAATCATACCACCATTGATTATTTTTCTCAATGAGCCAATGGGCCGCCTATTGTCCATCTTCTACCACTAATATCGTGTTTGGTTTGAAGGAAAAAATAGGGAAAGGAAGGGAAATGTAAGAAAATCTTTACAAACCTGGTATAAAGTTTTCAATGTTTTCTTTTCTTTTTTTATTTTTTTTTTAAACCATAGCCAAATGAAAATCATGGAATAGGGTGTAAACGGATTAAATTCGAATCAGATCAAATAATATCCGAATTCGAATCTAATTAGAAAATCCAATATTCGACGGATATTGAAAATTAATATCTGAATTCGAATCCAATTAAATATTCGAATGTTCGATTCGAATTTGATTAATTAATTATTTTAGATAATTATTAAATATATAAAATAAATATTTTTTTGATATAAAGTATATAAATATATAAATTATTTATATAACTTAATTATTATATATAAATTATATAAAATATTTTATACATTATATATAAGAATTAAATAATCGACTGAATTTGGATATTTATCGAATCGAATCAGGTCATATCCAAATTCGAATCCGATTAACAATTTGGTATGAATAGGATATTCAAATTCGACCGATTAGATATTCGAATTATCCAAATTCAATTCGATTATGTCGAATATCGAATTCAAAATTGGATTTTTTTGAATACTGTTTATACCCCTACATGGAATCATACTCACTATTATTTAGGTATTATTCTATCGACTCGAATTCGATCTGGATAAATAGAGGGATACACCCACTTATAATCACTTTTTAATGTTAATTAATATGTTGGGTTTAGTATGAGCCCATCACAGTTCACAACCCAAACCAACCCGGAACTCGATTGGGCCAACCAGTTGGGTCAGTGCGGGTTTGTCATTTAAGCCGATCCATTGGACATCCTTAAGGCTAAATAGGGGTGTTCACAGATAAGTTAGGCCTATTTTTTTTACCAAACCAGTACTACCAATTTATGGAAAACTGGTAATCAAAATCGAACCAAAGCTGATCAATTAACCAATTGATTTATTCAATTAATTGGCAGTTTAGTTCATTGGTTTTTCGGTCTTTTTGTTTTTATAATATATTATAAAAAATATATAAACATATAATAAAAAACTAAAAAATATCATATTATATTTTAAATAATAAATAATATTATATATATAATGCAAAGTGCAAGTGTGAAGCCCATATCTATGATGGCTGGCTGCTAATAATATACCGTATATACCGTGAGTGGAGGCTGCCAGATGACACCATAACCACCGTAGGATTGCAATCAGATCAGACAAGCTTTGGAATTAACAAATAACAAATATTCAATATCTTATCCCTATCCCATTTTCATCTCTCTCTCTTGCTTCTTCGGTCCTTATCCAGAGCCAGAGCCATCTCTCTCCCACTCCACGACAAAAGATGTCGCCAACCCTGCCCCAGCGTGTGCTCCACCAGCAAAATTTTGGAATATACGCTCCAAGCCTCCAACCCAACCTACTTGACACGTGGGTGACAGCTCCATTGACCGCGACACGTGTACATACCTCCTCGTTCGAGTCCCACCTTCCAATAGTAATCCTCCACATCACTAAAGACGGCGGAAAGCTACAGATTCTTCGCCTCGTGGTCCCCACCAAGTCACTAGAAGATTAGACAGACCTTGAATGATTTTTTTTCAATATTTTATTCCGACACTTCTTCATCCGGACTTGGAATGAAATATTGGAATCGTGCAAAGGCAGGAGTTAGTACTAACTACTATTCTACTAACTACTCCATTCATCAATAATTAGATTAATTAACCGTGAGCTTAATCATCCTTAATATGATTAGAGACGTCATTAGGTCCCCATCTGACAGCTGTCCTGCATGGATTCCCACCGGGACCCACATGTAGCTTCTCCAGCACGTAAGTTAGAGAGGGACTTCTTTGTCAGCTCGGAGAGCTAGTGATAACGAGCTCCACCCACCACCTTGTCAACGGTTCTTTTAACTAACGACGATTCTGCCAGAGTCATCCATTTGACGCCTTCTGCCGTTACACTAAGGTCGAGCGGGCCCCCCTAGCTCTGTTTACGAGGCACACGTGTGCAAGTGCAAGACGTTGATACACGGAAGCTATCATGTCTGTAAGAGCACAAGATAATTTCCCTCGTAATGAATAAGTGATGCTGTTGCCAGCGTGGCAGTGTTCACACCGCCGTTGCTATCGGGACGCGGTTTACAGCCAACACAAAGAATGGAATGTTGGAAAGAAGCTTTCTCCTTCTATTTTCCGTTATGAGAACAGAGATACGCCCCTCGTTTCGCCCGAAACTACGAAAATACCCCTCTATTTCTTCCAATTTTACCGAAATTGTAACTTTTCGGGACGTAAGTGAGGGGTATATACGTCAACCAAAATAATAGTCAAAAACTTTAGAACAGGTCCCGATCCTTTTCCAATACGAAACTGACCTTCGCAGCAAGCCCTCCTAAAGAGGGAAATGGCCAAAGTTGCCCTCACTAAAATATTAGTCGTTGAAAATTAAGAAGGCTGTCTTTGTATAAAATGAAGCCAAGAAGTGAAGTATCAACCCAGAACTCTCGACAAAGCGTCATTTTTTTCGTTACGGGTTTTTCGAGTTGCAGAGGAAGCAGGAGAAGGGATAGAGAGAAGAGGGAAAAAGGAAGAGAGTGAAGGAAAAGAAGAGCAGAACAAAATAGATGGATCGTTTACGTTCTTCTTCTTCTCTATGTAGAAGTAGAGCGTTGTCGTATCTCTGTTTCTTTCTGTGTATCTCTTGCGTCGCAGCAACAGATTTTAATGTTACGACTATTAGGTTTGACGAAGGCTATTCTCCTCTGTTCGGTGATTCGAATGTCGTCCGTTCGTCCGACGGCAAGAGCGTCCATCTCCTGCTCGACCGTTACACAGGTATCACAAATTAATCACTTTTTCTGTTTAAACCTGAAAACTGGTTTCCCAATAAAACCAATCCAGAAATTAAGCAAGAAAGTAACAGAGTAAGGATTAATTTCTCGCTTTTATATATGTTCTCTTGTACGGTAAGCCGGTCGTCGTCACCATTAACGGTTCCGTTGGTCGAATATCAGGTTCTGGTTTCATATCGTCGAGCCTCTACAACCATGGATTCTTCAGTGCTAAGATTAAGTTGCCGGCCGATTACACAGCCGGCGTTGTCGTCGCCTTCTACGTAAGCACTTTCTTCTTGAAAAGGGATTAATTTCTACTTTTAATGTTAAAATAGTGGGAAAAAAGTAAAGAACTATTTAATTTCCACCGTCTGATCGGGCTATGGTTCGATCAGGGCTAGTTGTGGGACCAGGTGGGCTCACGTGTACTGACTGGATGGAAAAGGCGATGGATATCGCTGAACAGTGGTAACGGATTCATGTGTGTCCGAGGTTCCATCGAAGTAGAGAGAGAGAGAGAGAGAGAGAGTAGTTGTTTCTTTCGTAGTAGTTGATTATATTATCACGATCACGGTGCTGAATGCTGATGCAGACATCCAACGGAGATGTGTTCGAGAAGACGCACGACGAGCTGGATTTCGAGTTCCTTGGAAACATTCATGGCAAAGAGTGGAGGTTCCAGACAAACGTCTACGGCAACGGGAGCACCCACCGTGGGCGAGAAGAGAGGTACTACCTCTGGTTCGACCCGACCCGCGAGTTCCATCGGTATAGCATCCTCTGGACAGCCAACAACATCATGTAAGCATCTCAACCCAAACCTCCCTCTCTCTCTCTCTCTCTCTTAAAAGTAGACACTTGGCAACCTGCATGCAGAGCTTTGGCTGTGGGACGCAATATGAGATGGGTCCCACAGAAGAGATGATAGAACTGTGGATTAGAAACCTTGGGGACTTGTTAGGCTGTTGGATTTCTAGGGGCTTTAAGTTTTATCCGCCTACCAAACGAGAAGACCTACACGGCTGCACCTACTATATTGAATATTGGTTGAATGTGACTTTCTCCTGAGGCTGAGATTACTGATATTCCTGAAGCAATTGTTTCACCTTCACGTGAATTTCTGCTCTGCATATGGGCTTTAGAAAGTCCTGTTTGTATACTTATTCTAGCTTATCCTGCACGTACGTTTAATTGTTAAAAAGGTTAATGGCTCAAGCTGGGGAGACGAGACGAGACATAATCACCTAAAGGGATAAACCGACTCGAACGGAAAGTTCAGTAGTCTTGTTTTCATCATTAATGGCAATTTCCAGCTTTGATTGAGTTGGGTTTCCTGGGATTTTGCCCAAGTTCTTAGCTGGGGACAGTTGGGTGTTTATATAGGATGGCTTGTGAATCCAATCCAAGTATATTCTCAAAATGGAAAAATATCTCTTCTTTTGGTAAGAATCGCAAAATAATAATTTCTTCTCAACGTTAAATCTTTTGATTCTTGACACTGACTCTCATTAGGTTTTATTTAAGCTCCATTTGATCAAGTTTTCAAAAGGTCTGTTGTTAATCCGTGCTTGGTGTCGATGGATTAAGCTGTTAATCATCTCTGTTGTAAGTTGCTGAATTCTTAATTGTTAATTGATGAATTGAAATAGTAGTTGGCATGAAACTTCATAAAAGGGAATAGGAAATCCAGCAAACTGTGGTTTCTTCTCTCCTTTTTTAGTGATCTACACCAAACCGGGTCCAACCCAATTCGTAAATAGTTTTGGACCTTGGAATAGCTCTTCTCTTCTCAACTCAAATCCAGAAGTAGAAAGCCTTGAGATGTGGATAATGTCTAAACATCTTTCCTTTTTTATCTAATTTTTAAGTTTTATTTATTTATGTTATTTTTTGTGGGGTCCAGATTCTACGTGGATGATGTTCCAATCCGACAGGTGGTAAGAAACGACGCAATGGGTGGCGACTACCCATCAAAGCCCATGTCGTTATACGCAACAATATGGGACGCCTCCAACTGGGCAACTTCCGGTGGCAAGTACAAAGTGAACTACGAATACGCTCCCTTTGTTTCCCACTTCTCCGACCTAGTCCTCCAAGGGTGCCCCTCCGATCCCATCCAGCAGCTCCCCACCGGCAGCTGTGCCGAGAAGGATGCCGAACTGGAGAGTGCAGACTATGCCGTCATCACGCAGGAGCGACGCGCCGCCATGAAGAACTTCAGGCAGAGATACATGTACTACTCTTATTGTTACGATTCATTGCGGTACCCTGTCCCACCACCGGAGTGTGTCACAGTTCCAGCGGAGAGGAGGCGGTTCAAGGATACTGGTAGGCTGAAGTTCGATAGCCACCACCACCGCCACTCGAAGCGGCCCAGACGGGTTCCGACTGGTTCAGCATCTAACAAACAGGCCGAGATGTAAATGAGGTTGTTGTTATTTGTGGAGATGGTGGTTGATTTTTTTTCTTTCTCATTGTTTTGTTCATGTTGATGTGATTGTAAAGAAAAATATATCAATAAGATCTCAATATGATTTTCCCATTATTCAAGAACTGTTCTTTTCTGATACAACCTGCAGCCATTGGTTGAGGCGGTAACCTCAGTCTTCATGTGAAGGCTCGCTTCTTTTTAACCACCCAATTTGCTCCATCATTGTTCAATATATGTGTATCTTAATTATTCGAATTAATAGGTTCATATATGATCATTGACTCATTGTCATTCACTCTTTTTCTGAATTTCTCTTAGATAACCTTTCATCTGAGTGGTTACATTTATTTTAGAGCTTCTATAAAAGGATTCTACCCAAAAAAACTATCTAGTGTCTACATCATTCATGTATATTTTTCTATTGTTTGGTAGTGGAAATGAATAATTAAAGGCAAAGAGAATAAAGAAAACTATTGTTCTTTACCTAATCCTAATGAAAACTATCTTCTTCTATTTCATTTTTTAAAGATAGTTGGGTTGGTAAGTACATCACTGTCATGTCATGGCCATGCATGAAAGAAGCTTCATTAAGAATATCATGGAGAGAGAGAGAGAGGACCAGATAAGGAAGTGGAGTATAGTGATTCTTAACTCTTAAATGAAGTATTTATTCCAATATTGAACAAATACTTTGAGACAAATGAAAGGGGGAGCCATGGCTTTTATTGAAGAGTAGGGTTAGTTGGATGACAAGGGCTCTCACTTCCTTCCACAGTGTGGGAGTTGGGAATGATTGGGGTTAGTGGGTTTTGTTGGTTCTGGCTGAGCTGTAGCCAACTGTTTGATGGGTCTCAAATGCTTTTATTTGCTGAAAGCCAAACCCAAGTTGATTTGACTGCAATACATTAGTGCTTGTTAAGATAAGTTTAAAAAAAGTTGCACATATTTTAGGGATTCAGGGGTCCATGGCAAATTGGCAATGGAAGTAGTTGGTTGTGGTCCTCTTGTGCTTTTGTTATGATGGCTTTGGTTGGAGAGGAAACCAATAACGAGGATGGCTTTAACCCCAAGCTGTTTAGCCCACAATAGCAGGAATTAGCAATCAAAGAGTTGATCAGTAATACCAAAAGTGCATACACCTGTTCCTTTCAGAGCCCTGCAAAAAAAAAAAATATTCCTTCTATTATTGCTAATACAAATATCGTATTTTATTGGTAGCAGTTTAAAATCCAATCCTAAAGGGTGAACCACTTTTGGGTCAATCCACCATGTCATCATTATAAAGTGAATTTCAAAAATTAAAATAATGCAAACAAAAAAATAACGATTTTAATGGGTCAAACAGGTTAACAGTTCAACCATCCAGGTCGATGGGCTACTGTGGTCTGTGGAGTTCTATAAGCCAATGGACCCACTATTTGATGGACAAATTTTCAAAAATAAATTACAATAATGCAAAAAGACTGGTAACCCATTGAAGGGCTCAGATAAGTCAATGGTTCAACCATGGACAGATGGGTCAGGCATATGACAAAGATGAGCTATGAAATTGAATGTGTCAGTCCAGTGGATCAGATGGGCACTCTGAATTTGACCATGATATCCTTCCATGTGGCAGAAATATGTGGGTTCCCATAGAGCTCCCTATGACCTAACTGAATGGTACTTTGGTCAATTTCATACTTGATATAAAACCTATGGTGCTGGTTATCCTACCTTCCTCAGACCTCAGATAGCAGGTGGGAGCCTGGGACCAATAGCATTTTTAATCCTAGTTTCAATATTCTTAATTGAGGAATCAAGCAGCAGCCTAGTTGTACATGCAAATGTATACACCACAGATGTGGTGGAGATGTGAAGATCTTTGCCTTTTAGGGTGTCTTCTTGTTGGACCTAGCCTGATGAAAGTTATGCAGTCCTTCTGTATCTAAGCTTGAAACTTTGAGACTGGAGGTGTAAGACAAGTTTATACTAATAAAAATCTAAATGACATTGTTCTAATTAATTAAAAAGATATTTATCAAGTAAGGGTTCATACCAAAACATTTTGACTGAACTTTTATTTAAGAATTACAATTAATAAAACAGAAAGTAATAAACAACAACCATATACATTAAAGGAGAGGGAGAAAAGATCTTAATTACCACTAAGGTCTCGTTCGTTTGACGATATCTTATGGGGTTAGTTGGTGAATCAGATACTTGACCAATTTTCTTACGTTCAAATATTATTATAATGGGTTTTATGGAAAACGATTTTTTTTGACAAATAACCAATACTCTCCTAGAGGGTACCCGTCGAAAACATGAATAAATGAGAGAGAGAAGTAGTACCGCTGATTCGCTGCCTTTCTTTCTCTCTCCCACAAAAGTTTTCCATCGTTATAGAACAACCAATGTGCTACTCTTGTCCCTACACATATACGTACCGGTCAAAACTCAAAACCAATGTATAGAGTACAGGGAGGGGGATTAGGGGGTGGGACAAAGAAGTGTGCGGTTGAGGTTTTAGTTCATTGACTTTAAGACATAAAACCTACAGTTACGCGAGCCTGGAGGGACGCTGAATCTGAATGACCATCTCAACCACTACTAGGCCATTAAGCAATTGATTACTTCATCTCTCTCTCTCAAGTAAAAGGTGGAGTACAACTCTGCTCCCAGCTCCCTTGCTTCCTAAATTATTTTCCAGCCTGGTCCTGGTCCTCCAAGACCTGCAGAGCCAGCAGCTGCTCCATTAGCTAATGACACCAAATTGGAGAAAGACAGCTATGCCTTTATAATTCTTACATTGCAGGGTCATGTTGGTTGTGCATCGTACCATTGCTGTTTTTTCCTCAAATCCTTAATATGTTTTGGATTGATAAGTACAAAATGATGAGAAATATGTGTCGTCACATCAKATATGAGAATCACTTGTATGGGATTTATCATTTCTGTTTATTAGAAACAACAATTTCTATTGATAAACCCAAAATGTTTTGCTAGAAACAACACAGGTGTAGGAGAGAGAGATGGGCAAGTAACAAAAGTAGAAGAGTACAATTATAGTGCATTTTGAATATTTGTTGCCCATTAAATCAAAATTTCAACCAATCATATCAAAGATGTCACATGATCTTTTTATTTTTATTGGTATCATGTTTCATCTTCTACTTATATTAAAAACTTTAACAATAATAAAAATGATTTTTATTATAAAAAATTTGTATCCTTTAATATTTGACATATGTGACATTTTTTTACATTTATTAATACTTGCATAATAATGTTCATTTTATCCATTGTAATTGTGCATTGCTTTCCAATTTATTTTGACTTTAAAATATAAAAAAGTTCTCTCAAAAAGTGACAGGAACGGGTCAATTTTGCCCACAGTTCATAACAGTTGCAGGGAGTGATGTGTGGTGTGGATTGATCCACAAAAACTCCCCACAACACATCCCAACCGTACACTGAAAACATCTCCCAATGGCATACGGGAGATGTTCTAAATGCACGATATAAAACACCCCTTGGTCTCTTTAATGAAAACCCAATATTCATGAATAGTTACATTTTTGGTTAGTAATTCTGAATAGCATGACATTGCTAACAACGCCTACGCCATCCAAAAAATCGCAACCACTGACAACCCTAGAGTCAAAGACCGGATTCCCCAAAAAAATAAAATAAAAAAATCCACTCCCACGTCCCTTCTAAAGAAGAAATAGCTCAATAGAAGGGGGGCTTCAAAGGGTTTGCCCAAATTTTGTCTATACGGGAAACCTCGCTCCCACGTTCCCCCCCCCCCCCCTTTGCTGTAGTACCATAATGGGACACCATTTACTTTACTACAAAGCCTAATATCTAAAAACTAAAACTCCTAGCCAGCAGATTAAAAAAAAAAAAAGGTTTTCAGCTTTGAACCCATCGAAACTCCAATGTCCCAATGTCAAGCTGTCAATTTTCTATGTACTAACTAAAAAACATTACTTACCAGACTTCCATAGAAAATCCTCCATGAGATGAGAAAATACATGACAACTGCCTTGACCTGAATTTTTTCTCTTAACTGCAAAGAGACGGCTTCTCTAGAATGCGTAAGCGAGTCAATTGCTGAACTGAAAAATAAGAAATAATAAAATGGGAACCGAGAGAAAATACCTGATATTCCAAGTGCATCAAACCAATTGTCACCTATACCGCTTTCAAAACCCAGTACCCAGTATACTGTTCCACTTATATCAACCACCCAGATTTCTGAACATAAATAAAGGACAGAAGAAAAGTACATTGATAACCTATCCTATGTCATCCCTTTTGTTTCTTTTATTGAAACAAAATCAACAGAGAACCATCAGGGCAGAAAACTTAAAAATTGGTTGATGAGGTAGATAAGCAATAATGGCGAACAAAATGAGAAACATGATGAATTTCAATGAAAATGGCATTTCAAAAAACACATGGAATAGAAAATGTCTCAATGTGTACTTTCAGGAGAATGATGTATCCGACTTAAATTTACCAACCCAGACTCAATTGACTCAGACATTAAAGCCTCACAAACCTTGGAACTGTCAGAAAAACCTACTGGACCACACATTATATCACCGAATGCCTGATTCCCTTCACTACCATTAGTGGAAGGGTTGCCCTTGGAAATGCCACTTTTGTTTGTTTCCTCATCGTTACTGATTGAATTGCTTATAGGCTGTGAAGCAGTTTCAGGAGAGAAAAGGCAGTGTCCCACTGCTTCATGTTTCTCCTGATCTGGACTAGCAATAAGCTCCATTTTCTTCTGATTTGAAGCTGAAATCATCACCTCCTGTACAACCTTTCCTGGAGTTGGTTCCGACTCCGGTATCTTCTGACTGGGAGTTGATGGTGGTCTGATATCGTCCACCAAAGGAGTTGACATCAGTTCCACAACCTCTTCACCAGTAGTTGAAACACGCTCCCCCATCTTAACAGGCTTCTGATCACTGAGACTTGGAAATTGTTCCACTGCCTCCAGATTGGAAGTAGGGACTGCATCTGCTTTCTCTTGCTTGTAATAATCTAGAACCGCATCCCCTGCTGTCTCCTGATTGGAAGTTGGAACCAGCTCGGGTTTCACCCCATCATCTGCTGTTATCATTTTTTGTTGTGGCTCAGAGAATGATTGAATGTTTTTGGCCTTCATCTCTTCACTCTGCTTTTTGTAAAGGTTCAGGGCTCTCTGCAAACATAGAATAACAATAATAAATCATCAAGGCAATTTGTAGGTCATATATCTACTAGCTCCGTTCATCATTACAGGTCAGTTGCTCAGTTCAAATTTAACACCCTATAATTCAGTTCTTGATTAGAGAAGACAATTTTAAATTCAGAAAATTGTGAACCAGCCATTGCACTGGTTGTCTATGAAAATGCTTTAAGCCGCAGAAAGCTCAGGTGTAAGCCATGGCTTCCAGAAAGGATCAATATTTAAAGAGTTTGCAGCAATGCTGTATGGGAACATATACAAATAAGTTGGCACCTTGCACTGATAAAGGCAGGCTCAAAAAGGTATGACTAAGCAACATGAAGAAAAAAATAAGGATCACATTGCAGCTTTAGAGCACTAGTTTCTGAAATGAATCTACCTGGAAAACAGTAGCCCTGATTGCAGGGAAGAAGGAAGCACCCATAGTATAAGAAATATTATATCCAGATTCTGCACTCTCCTGTCATAGAAAAAGGACTAAGATACAGAATTCATAATACAAGTAAATGGGGAAAGAAAGAAATGGAAGAAGAGATATTATTATGTTCCGTGACATATTCTACCTCTAGGTCCATTTGTGCATTCTTGGTAACATCTTCATCAGTCTTATTTCCTTCAGTTTCCAATAAGCCCATGCACTGGCCATACAACTCCGGATGGGTAAGATCCTCTGAGATTTCTATCCCAGATAGATAAACATGACAAAATTGAGAACCACCATTACTAGATATTTTACAAGGCTCAGGACTATTCCCGTGGATGGATTTTGGAGAAGCTTCAGAAATGCCCTTTTCTGGAGTGGAGCTGGATCTCTTTATTTCAATGCTTTCTGCCCTAGTGACAGACCTGTTCCGTTCATTTCGGGTCCGCTGGCTTGACTGCCCAGCCCAGACCTCATCAGGGACACGGAGTGGATAATCCTCCTTCTGGGATGTCGTGGGCAACTCCATGTTCATACCACCGTTATGTCCCTTCCACATTTCTGCACTAGTTTCCCGCCCACGACCACTCATCAAGTGTCTGTTCTGATCCCATTCTGGTCTCCCAAACATGTGAGAGTCATCACCATAGACACCATTACTCCCATCCCATCCATGCAAATGAGGTGGGCAAGACTCTTCAGCTGGATTCCGCCACCCAAATGGATGTCCATGAGTGGAAAACCGGTCAGTATCGGGCAAATGATAATGAACCCCGGCATGATTTAATTCCATCGACGGTCTAACTCCAAACAAGGGTGGAGCAGGAAATTGCTGCATCACATGAAATCCTCCAGGTGGTGGCCCATGTTGATAAGGAAGGAAACCATTTGCTACTGGTGAGGGCCAATTTGGTGTACCTTTCCAAGGATTTCCCTGCCCCCTTCCTGCACCGGTATCACTACTCCTCTTGAAACGGTTACTGGGCTTACCTCTGCTGTCTTCTTCTGATGAACCTAAAACTGAAGGCCCATCAGCACCAGCTCTGAAAGGCGGTGGTGGAGGAAGAGATGATGATCTGTCAGGAAAGTGACCAGTTCTATTGAAGGATGATGAAACAGACACAGTGTCACCATCTCCTTGAGAAAACTCATCCACTGCCTTCTCAAAAGGAAATTCCCGGCTACCTCTGTCTTCATTATTGGAATGATCCCTTGCATCTTTAGAACCAGTACTCCTTCGTCCTGTTTCTTCAACATCAAGGCTCCGTCTCACACTGCTTCTATTGGAGTATCTCCGGTCAATACTTGATGATGATGGTGATTTCTCAAACTGCATGGGTGAGGCCAGAACATCTGATCTGGGAGACCGTTCAGTTGACAACTCACCAAAATGGTTGTCATCCCTTTGTACAGACTTGTCCAAAGATCGTGATTTTTCAAGGATGCCAGAGACACCAACCTCTCTTGAGGAAGTTGCATTAGGCCGAATTCTTTCTTCAGATGCAGAGTCTCTATACTTCATGTCCATTTGCTTTGAGCCATGCCTGAAAACATGAACATGTTGCAAATTATTATTCACCCAACTTCAAATAAACATGATCTGGATTCATTAACACTAAATCTGGCTATAACAGGAAACCAAATTGGTGTGGAAAGCCTTGTTTTCTGAACCTGAAAATCGTTCGAGCCAAATCAATACTTCAACAGACCATAGGGAGTGTCAACATTACAATAGCAATGTGCTAAACTTTAGTTGACATTTCAAATAATAATGTTTCCAAAGCTTCCATATTTGATGAATCATTGCAAACTTCTGTTTTTTTTTTTTTTTTTTTT